CAGTCCCTCTTGACGTGAACCAACTCGTGATCATTCCATTTCCTCAGGGGATGCTTTCCGCTTCAATAGCGTCAGTCCGGGTGCCTTACAATCGATCTCACCCCATACTTGTCGGATCACTAGGTTAGAATCCCCGCAGATCACCAGACGTCTGCGATCTAAACCCTCCAGCATGTCGAGCCTCAAGATCAAGCCGTTATGCTCGGCTTCGTTCACGGTGAGGCTCTCGAGATAACCTGATATGGCCTTGACCACCTCCCATCCAGGAAGACTCCACACAATCGCGCTGAACGCGCCCCCACCGCGCTTGACTCGAGCGGATCCGTCAACTGATCACCCATAATTCTTCATCTCGATCTACAGTGGGTATGGGCACTTGGATCCGGCGTTTTGGTTCTTTCCGGGGAGCGATCTCAGTCAGAGCATCGTCGATCTTCGCCCTCGGCGTGGTGCTGGGTGCGATCGCCCCCAGGATCTCATCTTCACCCTTCGTGTACCTCGTGATCTCGAGTGTCCATGGGGCCAAGAGGGCAGACCATTGCCCCAAGCGGCCCTGCAACCCCGTAGACTTGAACAGCCAGGCCAACGTAGAATGCCTCGCCCCGGATCTCGCGTCCTTCTAGCAAATTGTAGTAGAGATCTAAGATCCTCAGCAACGCCAACACCTCCTTCTCCGTCACATTGTAGTTCAACTCGTTCGTCTTCAAGGTGCGACTGGCGAACGCAACCGGATGGGAAATCCCGTCGTGTTCTTGCGTCAACGAAGCGGATATCGCCCAATCACTGGCATATACGATTACCACCGGCGTTCTCGTCTCGTCCAAATGGCGGAGGACTGGGGTCGTCGCGATCTTGGTTTTCAGGGCGATGAAGGCCCTAGGTGCCCTGATCCACCTCTCGTCCACTGACCCTGTCAACTTCAGTTCCGTTGGGTCCTGATCTCGACGAATGGGGTCATTCCGGTCCAAGATCTCCCTCAGGTCTGATCGTTTCTCCAGTTCTGCAAACTCCACTTCACGTAATTCGTAGAGTACC